TACTAATTGGAATTTTCTCTTACAGCTTGAGCCTAAGTGTGTCGCAGGATACCCTCTAGGTGATAGTTCTTGATTACTTTTTGATAAATAATTCGCTCTTATTGAGAAATAGGACCACTATTTATCAATCTGTAATAAAAGACGTGAGGAGATTCTGTCTTTTTTAAAGACAACAATTTTTGAGGCGAAATACCCAAAAAGAAGTTTGTAAAAAATAACTATAGATGTTGAACATTAAAGTCTTTGTTACAACGCGTCTTATTCACACTTACCAATGTGAAAGTGCTGTCTGGGTTTATCGATTTTTTGGAAACTACTGCTTGTAGTTTTAGCTGGGATATTAACTTATGCTAGCTTCAAAAGCAGCTGCAGTTAAAACTGCCTTCTACCCAATAGACAGCAATCTCGCATATTTCTAGCTCTTCATTTAAGACATGGACAGCCCGTTCCTAATCGACCATTTAAGAAGGAGCGTGTGATTTCGAACTGCTATCCACAGTCTTTCTTTTCATGTGCCATATTAAACGAATCACTCCACAGCTTTTCTCTAGGTCAACTAGATGATCTTGATGCTTTTATTGCTTTAGGAACGATTCCATTGTAGCAGAATCACATAGAATCAAGATCTTCACGGACGCAGAAGGTCGGTCACATTATCGCCTGAGTCCAGCTCTGGCTTTCGACCAGGGAATGTACAAAATAGTGGCCCGGAATAAAATTGGACAAACCATCACAAGAACCAGAGTGGTATTGGGACTTGTGCCCGATGAACCGGACAGTCCAGAAGCCAGCCAGGTTTCGGACACTGAGGTTTTGCTCTTGTGGAAGCAACCGAAGCACGACGGCAATTCTCCAGTAATCTGCTACAGGTTGGTGAACAATTTAACAAAATATATATTTCACACAAAACACCACATCTAGGCTGGAATACAAACTGGCTGATGATATGGAATGGATCAAGAAAGCGGATAACATTGACCATGAGTTTTACCTGATATCCGGATTGCAGCCCAGCAAGACCTACATCTTCCGGTTGGCTGCTAGAAATGCCATTGGGTGGAGCGACTCCGGAGTACCAACAGCCCCAGTATTAACAAAAGTTGATGGTAAAAAAGCGGATAGTCGTAAAATAGGGCAGCTGATAACCTGACTCTTTAGGTTCCCAGAAGATTCAACTCAGCAAAGCCATGGCGCACCTCCAAGCAATAACGGACACTGGAAGAGAAGTGGAAGAGGAGAAACCTTTCAAGAACAACTACAAGACCGAAACGGAGCCCGTTGAATGGGAACATTCTAGTATTCAAGAGCACTATAATTTCATCTCCGAGCTATCCAGAGGTTACTTTCCTAACCCCCTTGATTATTCTGGGTAATTTTTTTTCCTAACTAGGTCGATTTAGCACCGTCCTCAAAGCAGCAGACAAACGAGATGATACTGTAGTTGTTGCGAAAATCTTGGACATTTCCGAACAAAAGCAAAAGGATGATGTTGAAGGGGAATTTGCGGCGCTCAGATCCCTGAGACATGAAAGAATTGCCAGTCTTCTAGCCGCTTATCATTCTGGAGACAAAGCTGTGTTTATCCTGGAAAAACTTCAGGGAGCCGACGTGCTGACTTACCTTGCCAGCAAGCATGAGTACACTGAGCAAACTGTCGCTACTATTATCAGCCAAGTGAGATAATTTATTATAGGAAAAAATGCCAAAAATAATCCATTGCTTCTAGGTTCTAGACGGCATACAGTACCTCCACTGGAGAGGTTTATGCCATTTGGACCTCCAACCAGACAATGTAGTAATGGTGGGTGTGCGCTCCGTACAAGTAAAGCTGGTTGATCTGGGATCAGCCCATAGAGTGACTAAGCTAGGAACCAAAGTACCCATTGTGGGACACAGAGATTACATTTGTAAGTGTATGAAACGCGATCCTAAAAATCCCATAAACACGAAGAGGTTTTAGCTCCAGAAGTCCTGGAAGAAGAACCAGCATTCCCTCAAACTGATATTTGGTCAGTCGGTGTTTTGGCGTACGTGATGCTCTCTGGAACGGTACCGTTTAGAGGCAGCGATGAAAACGAGACGAGGCAAAACATTGTGTTTGTACGGTACAGATTCGAACATTTGTACCAAGAAGTGTCACAGGAAGCCACTAGGTTTATTATGCTTTTGTTCAAGAAACAACCAAAGTGAGTTCTCTAAGTGTCGGCTTAATGGTTTTTCACGCAACTTTTGCTTTCCAGCCATCGACCCTCACCGGATGAATGCCACGAGAATAGATGGCTTTTACCCACGGACTATATGATTAAAAAACGAGAAAGAAATGTGTTTTTAGGTCATAGAATAAAGGTGGGTTAAATCGGGGCAGAAAATAACCTTATGCCTAATTATTAAGTAAATGAATGAGAAACGGGAGGTCTAAGCGACGATCACCTAAAAATCATTAATGAACCAGTTAATTGTTTTGTCCTCTTTTTGAGTCGTCAGTTATTTATTAGTTTTTTTGTTGCATTTTCCATTACGCCATTTACACAAAACCAAAATAATACCGACAAAATATTACCGATGCATGCAATTAGTCCATTATTAAGCAAAGTCGAAATTTATTGATTTGAGTGATAATGCGTTAAAACATTTTCCAATATCAAAATAAAATTGATCGAATGGAACTATCGCTAACAAAAAATATATTGCAGGAATATTCGGACGAATATCATGCAGAAAGAGAAGCATCTGCACAAGCATCCACAAGCCAAATAGGCGGTAGAGCCCTATTCAGGTCTCAAAGCATACAAGAAGAACTGCTAACTTCTCCATAGAATATTAAGTAATTATTCTTATTTAATTGTACATAAATTTTCAGATTTTTGACTCGATATTGCAGGATTTATTGCTAATGGCGTTAGTTGCACAAAACACTAAATTAAATAATTGCGATTTCCATAAATATTGCTAGTGAAAAATTGTATTTCATAATAAAATTTTAGCTTGTTGAAAGATGGCTGGAAGAGAAAGCCACAGCAGAAGAGGAGGAAGGAACGAATATTTTACCCTAAATGAATTGCAAATAATTGCATAATTGCAATTAGTTTTGTTTTGTGATGTTGGTTGATCATCTACTTATGATCGGCGAACCTCTATTTTTACTATAACGATTTTTTGTGTTTAGTTGAACTAAGATTTTCAAAGTTACTTTGTTCCATTGTTACAATATATTAATCTGATTATATTAAATTAAGATAAAGTTATTTCAATAAAGAAACTGAAACTGAATCTTTTTTATCATTTTAGCGTATGTTAAACTGGTGATTGGTATATCTGGACTAGAGAATCTGACCACTTTTTTAATACCTATGTAAATTTGTATTTACAAATTTTAGGTAATCGTAGTCGGAAAAACAGGAAAATAGAACAGGTATATGATCAACCGCACATTGTAAAAATCATTAAAGCGGAAAGACTCAGATGGTTAAAGATTGCTTCATACGTGCATCTGAAAAACTGTTTCGTCATTTCAAAAACAAACCAGAAATCTTGAAAAAATTAAAAGATTTTCCAGCTATCCGCTAAAACAGTACAAGATAATCCATAATCCAGACTATGTTTTAGCAGAAGAATTAGTTTATTTTGAAGACAAATTTATTCTTTTTGCAGAATATATACTCAGAGCGATAAACTTTTCACTTAGTAAGAATAAATTAAATAGTAATATAGAATTATCTAATGATACAGGGTGAGTTTTTTTCGATGACTAGTACAAGGATCTTAGAAATTACAGCAGATACAACGCAGGTTAAATGGACAAAAATTGTAGCAATGAATGTGAAACAAATTTCCTTTTCCAAAATTTGACAGGTGTCAAGAGATATTCGAAGAAAACTAATTTATGGCATATTTTTATATGACTCCTAGTTCAGTTCGTATTAATCTGACAGGAAAACATTAAACAGAAAAGTTTTAGAAAATTGCATTCCAAATAAAATCGCATAAGGCAATTTTAAAAATTAATTATTATTTTTGACCTATGAGATAAATTTTTGTTTTTTTAAATGGAAACCATATTTGATTATGTCTTTATTAAATAGAAGAGAATAATAGTTTAAGGTAGACGTATTTAAGCTGTCTTTGTGCTGTTTGGGTGAAAACCACAATTCTTTGTCCATATATAACCTTCGTTGTAAGTATCTGCTGTAGTTTCCTAGATCTCTTTCTTACATAGTCATCGAAAAAAACTCACCCTGTATACATTATATAGTTTGATGTGAAAAACACTACTTACATATGAATAAATAGATTACTTTTTTAATAAAAAACTTAATTTATGTGAGTACTTTTAATATTGGCATGAAAAAAAAATTGTGGCGCTTTCAAAACTGTAAAAATTTGTAAATTGTAATTTTTCGCTCTTCGGGTTCAAAAGGTTGCCGACCCCTGCATTAAGCATTAAACAATTTGTTGCTTAACTCTAGTACGTCTTTATCTATTGGGGGTTACAATGAGGCCGGGAGCTTGTTTATTGAGAACGAGCTGAAAGTTAATTGTTCATTTAAATTCTTATTAACACATTACATAGTTCCATGTGCTTTCCAATTTCAACATTTTTAAATATTTCTTTACTAACACTCCAATTTCACTCGTAACTCACTATTTTGACTTCTTTGGAAACGGTTTGACAAGTCTTGTGAGTTTATTTGACATTTACCGTTAAGCAAACAGCCAACTTGATATACATATAACTAAGTCTTCCTTTGCATAATACAGTATTTACTTACCTATTTCATCGCGTTAGAACAATAATTAAATAATTTTTCGTCACTGAAACTGACTTTGAATCCACAAGGAATAGAAAAATAACCAGAGACACGGGAGAGTTCTTTCTTTGTCTGATATAACCTCTCAAACCAGAAAGATATTTCAATGACATAAGCCGCACAGTTAGCTAATTTCACGTGTATTGTGTTGTCAAGTAGTCAATTTCTAATTATTCTTCGTGCATAAAAATCATAAAAACTACGCAAAATGTCTGATTGGGATACAGTAACCGTGTTGAAGAAGCGAGCCCCCAAGGCCTCAGTAATGAAAAGCGAACAGGCAGTTAATGCGGCCAGACGACAAGGCATTGCTGTCGACACACAGCTGAAATGTTAGTATGGATGAATATTCTGGAACCGCAAATCTAAATTGCACGTTGTTGACTCATTATTTTCAGGGGGTGCTTCGAGCAATAAACAACATGTAACCACAAAAAACACCGCAAAGCTGGACAGGGAAACAGAAGAACTGAAACACGATACAATTCCATTGGATGTGGGCAAACTGATCCAGCAAGGACGCCAGTCAAAAAACATGAGCCAAAAGGAGCTGGCCACGAAAATAAACGAAAAGCCCCAAGTTATAACGGACTACGAAGCCGGCAAAGGAATACCTAACAATGTAATTCTCGGAAAAATCGAACGGGTCTTAGGGCTCAAGCTAAGGGGAAAAGGCAAAGGTAAAGCGGTACAGCTTCTGGGCTCTCAAAAGTAGGGCCCTTGGGCCTTCCCAGGATGTAACAACTGTCACCCTTAAGCAAAATTTCTCAATATCACGGAATTTTCCAAATAATAAGCATTTTTCAAGCAAAAGGCGAACTTAAAATTGATGAAGTAGTTTTGAATGTAGGTCACTTCAGTCATCTTGTAGGTGGTTGCATTTAACGAACGTATATAACTCACCGTTTCATTTTGGAATTTTAATATTACGTACATACTTAATTGTACTGTTTAATAAAGCATACTGAACTTAACAAACTGGGTTTGTTGTTTATATGCTCCATCTTAAGTCACCATCCACATAGACCTTCACGCAGGATGCCCTCAATATATTTACATACTTTTAAGACAAAGCTTCCTTACAACAATCCATAGTTTCTTTTGTTCCCTTAATTAAAGATGCAGACTTTTCACCAACTTCTCGGAGGTAAACTTTCATATATATAGTTTTTGGTTGCTTTCACTTGTGATTACAACTTGAAATAATTTAAACTAGACTTATAATTTAGAAGGCCCTGTAATGTGTATTATGAAAAAACCATCTTTTAAATTAATTACCGTCATATACAACTTATTACTTCAGGCGCTACTATCGCCCAAAACCTATAACTTAAATTATTCGAAAATTACTTGTCAGGCAGTCATTGCAATTTAATTTAAGTTTTTAGGTAGAAATGTAATGCAATGTCTAATAGCTTTTCATGTCTAACTATGTGCCAGATTGCATATAAGGACTGCTTCAAAGCCCAGTCATTTTGGGGACTGTTTTCGAAGGATTATATTTATAGTATATTCAAAAGTTTGCATCTGTTTTTCGGGCATCTTGTATAATTTATTATTTGTGGGGTCCTTTACTAATATTAAATATTATTTGTTGACTCTAATTTTATGTGATTTCTTTTGAATTAATAAAGTTATATTTAAGTGCATTCCTGCCTGTTGATGACCAGCTACCTGTAACTACCTGCTATTTTACTGCTGAAAATAATATCGAAACGAGCCACAAGTCCGGTTCACAGCTTATATTTGAACTAAATACCCGCATTTCTTTGGTATGCGATCAGTTTTTTTAAACTCTTTGAGGACAAGTTACCAGTTAGATGTAATATATTTAACAAACTGCTCACATTTAATAATTTACCATTTATATTTCACAGAGGTTCACTGTTAAAGCAAAAAGTATCTGGCATTTTAGCAAATCATTGAATTTGAACAGTTTCTTGAAACTGGTTCATAAACCCTGGCCCTTTTTCTAAAAATTCAAAAACACATTGAAATGCGATTAAAATAAAAAACAGACTGTTTTAAATAGGTAATTACCGTTTTTTTCTCTGTACCACATATTTACTTCATCCAATAATAATGCTAGAAATTGATTCGGAATATTTATTGATTGATTAACTCAAGTTTCGAAAATACAAAAAGTAACCATAAATTAAATCAATCCTTTCTCAATTGGAAAGTTTCTACTTTCACATCATCCTTAGTGATAATGTTAATTAAAATGCTATCTCCCGTGTAGATGTCTCTTTCAGCAGCTGAAATAAAGACATCCTTAATAACAGAAAGAGCCTTCTCTTTGGTGACTGGCTCTTCTTTAACATTCAGCATGTTCTTTTGACCAATCTGATTATCCAGAAGGGGTTGCAGCAGAGCTCCAGCAGATCCACTAGCTCTGAAGGTTCTCTTCTCGCAATGCCCCACTGGATCGTAACTGTAAACGCAGCCCTTGCCATCCTCATCTAAACCAACCAGCACATTGGAGATGTAGTAGGGGAAGAATCTCTTGTGATACAGCATAGTGGAAAGCATTTGGGCACAAGCAGTGGTCGACATGGTTTTGTTGTGTTCCTGCTGATACATTTGCATGCGAGATTTCAGGATTTTGGTTAAAGTCAGAGTGTCGCACCAGCAACCAGAGCATCCCAAAACCGTGGTATTCGACAAGCGAAAGAGCTTGTTCTGCTCACGAGTGTAGATGGAAAACCCTGCACTTAAACGTGTATCGGCTCCAACGATCACAAAGTCGTCTCCAGCTATTGCAACGACGCTTCTGAAATTGGTAAAACAACTAATTAGGAATTGTTTGAACAGAAAGTTGCAGAAGACCCAAATGAAACTGTGGCAGCGCACTTACCCTCCATTATCCGCATAGGGACTAAATTGGTGCTGTATTGCAGCATTATTTCGATAATCAGTATAGGTTGATTTTTGTTGCAACATTTTTTTCTCACTAAATGATGTACAGCTTTTGAAAAATCAGCTAGAATGACCAACAAAAACACGGCTTGTGTTGGCTATTTTGACAATTACCTGACTTTTACATATGACATATGACTTTTATTCACCTTCCAGCGGCGTTGTCGCATGTTTTCGTGCGAATATGAGTTGGTCCTAGTTAATTTATTCCTTTAGAACTGGTTAGTATTGGGTAACTACTTTTTCAATTTGGTCAAATCTTGGCTAATTATAATAATAAATCTTGGGAATTATCAAGGACATCAAAGCCTTGAGTGGGCTGCTAATAAATAGGTTTTTCTTACCTTTTGGTATCAAAAAACAACAAAAACGTTGTTTGTTACTTGCAAACGTTGCTTGAGTTTTATGTAAATTTATATACTGTTTAAAAATAAATAGATAAAGAAAAACATTTTTAAGAAGTTTCAAACTTCGAGCTCGTGGCAACATTGGTGCAAAACTTTGCGACCTATTTGGCAAGTCGGCTGTAATGTCACATTTCTTGTCTCCACTCAAGTTCCAACGGCCGTTTACTTCAGCATCAGTTGTTATTTTGAATGTTTACCAAGTTGAGTGTGTATCTGAAGAGTTTTACCTGCAAAAAAACGCTATACAAATCAGTGAATACGATATCTACTAAGAAAAATGTAAGTAGTTTTTAACCAATACTTCGCTTACAGCACTGAAAGTAATTTGGATGTTTATATGGAAGTTTATAGACCTTATTTGGTTGGTTGTATTACACAGGTCTGACTAACGCTACCCTATAACTTCGGCATCTTTGAGGCGTTTTCCAACTATTAGGCTTTAGTTTATGTGTAATAACATCTAAACTAATGGAAAATGTCTATTAGATGGCCAAGTATGTCTACAAAGTCGTCTGAACTCATTGGCCGAAAGCCCTTCATGTGACGGTGCTTTGCTTCAATTACTTTCGTTCAAACAATGTTCTCTGGTGCATCTCACTACTGGTTTTAATTTCGTTTTTTCACAAATGAGTTGGCTGCTGTAGGGTTAGAAAAAACGTGTTTGGTGTCCAAGGGGTTAAAGTTACGCTTGTTTAGGTTACTGTTATTTTGATTTATTTTCCTGACTGAGGGTAATTGTTATTATATTCTTGTCTTTCCTGGGTCTCAGTCAATGCGTGAAGTAAAAATGTTTAATATCGCTTATTTCATTACGTTTCGGCGAGACAACAGCGCCTTTTAAAAACTATAATTTACATCCCTCAAGAACTGATGAATGTTTTAAAGCTTTATAAATTATAGTTTGTATACAACATGTTTTAATTGTGAATTTGTATTTGTAGTTTGTGTAAATTTTAAATCTGATGATGGCGTTGTTGTCTCGCCGAAACGTAATGAAATAAACGATATTAAAAATTTTGACTTCACACTTTGACTGAGACCCAGGAAAGATAAGAATATAATAACAGTTACTGTTATTCTCAAAATAATTAAATCACCTTATTCTTGTTGAATTGGTTAATTAACCTTTATAACCAGATGCAAAATCTCAAAACAGATGAATTTAGGTTTGCTTCTAATTCTCATTTTGTTGACTGGAAATCGATTAAGGGCTTCATTTAAGCCTTCTGTAGAGACATGGAAGACTTGGAAAAGTATCTGAATATGCCAGCCAAGGCAAGTTAAAATCCACATTACACTATATGAAAAAAGACATAAAAACGAAGAAACATGGCGGACAGTGCCTTATTCCACAAGAAGAAGAGAAACCTAATGAGAATAGAAATACGCCTCTAACAAGGTGCTAAGACCATTTTTAGCGCTTAAAGGGTTGTCCGCCTTTATCTCACACATAGGGGTGATGCGGACACCCTTTATCTTAAAAAATTAGAAGTAAATGAAAAGTGCATTTGTTTTATTAAATAATTCGACAAAGGAGACTCGGAAGCTTCTAAATTATTTTATTGGACATTTTTCTTTCAAAATTATACTTTTTATTAAGACGAAACGAGAAAAAAATCATCCGACTTCACCCCGAACGAGGGTACTCAAAAGCACCATTCTTCAGCGAGAGAACCGGAAAGCCTCAAAAGCAGACGCTGCTGCAAATAAGACGATCACACACCGAATATAAGCTTTCCCTCAACTTATTACAACAATGAATTAGCAAACTACAGAGTGCAAGAATTATAGAAAATAAGTGGTTTCAAGAACTTTAATAAACCGCAATTTCCAAACTACTATCAAACATTTTGTCGGAAGAAATATCAAAAACGGGAATTTATAAAAATACAACAAGGTTTTAGACAAAACGTGGAAGAAAAAGTGTTTTGTAATTAAAAATGTTTTCAATTATTTCGACAGTGTTTTTCCCAGCTCATTACCAATTCAAAAATATGTATGGCTACATGAAAAAATCTGTTAAATTTGTTATTTCGATTTTCGATTAAAATTTATTGTTTATAAAATATGCTATTTCATAGGTTCGTTAATAGTTTCCATTTCAAAAAAACATTTTTGTGTTTTATCTGAAAAATAACATTACAAACTTATGCAGGTACTTTGTCACATTTGCAGGACAAACATATACAACCTTTATATTTATACATTTGAAAATCGAATGTTGCTCTAAACTCATTTTCGTTGCAACAAATCTGCAGTCTTTCGACCATACAGCGGTCGCTATTTACTTATTTTAGTTTATAAGATCCTTTCGCTATGCCTGAAAAACTCACCCTGTATAATAACGTAACTTTAGAATCCCTATCAATGTTGAGTTGGAACAAACGAAACGTAAGGCGAAAACAGATTATCAATATAGTACAGCCCCGAATAAACAATTTGACTTCAATATTGTCTAGCACGTTCAAACCACTTTCAGCTTGTAGTTATTTTTTAAATTTATTATCTTCAGATTTTTTTAATTTTTAGTATGCCACGAACAAAGAAAGCTGCAAGCAAACAGAAAAATACCAGAAAAACTGACCAAGATCCACGGATTGAATTGGGTTTAAAAATTATTAATGACGCAGGTAGGATTACATACAATTAATAAATTAACAAATTGTCATTTCGCTGAAGTTAAACTCACTGAACTGACTTGTTCCCGCAATTGAAAAGAGAGCATAGACAATTCTGCATGATATAAAATAACCATTTTCAGAGGAAATTCGTCTTGGCCAATTACAAGCTGATCGGAAAAATGATCTGGACACAATTAAATGCGAAATTACCACATGTATGCTCAGTGTTCCTAGAGGATTGCTGGACCTAACTTTGGGAGAAATTGTAAGTGATGCATAATGAAGTTTTAAAGTATGCAATCTTTATTCCTCAGAGTCGAGGAGAATTTCCCGTTGATAAGACGTGGAACAGTCGAATTGTACTAGGCAATTCAACGCTTGCCAATGCATCAAACACCCTTCATTCCACACAGTCGACTATCCAAAAAACTGGTAGCAGATTAAAGAAAACCGCATCACATCTTTCGACGGAGAATGACGATGAAGGTAAGTTAGATACGCTTACACGCAAAGTGCTGACTTACGTTCATAGCAGTTAACATTTCAAGCATGCAGGTTTGGTTTAATGTGAAAAAGTACTAACCGATGTTCGTTCAATGATGTTCTCTGTGAAAAAACGGGTGTTTTAATAAGTGTCCGATATTTCACAGGACTATTCCTTAGGTATTGTTGAGGCAAACAGTCTATATGAGTACGCAAGACCTTTCTTATACGGCTAAAGAAAATCAAAAGATAACTAAAAGATAAGTAAATTTTTATACCGATATTTGGACCAAACTTGGTACATATTTGGGGGTCCTTAAAGTAATTCACGCAGGTGTTTTCAAAAGGTTAAACTATTTTATGAACTAGCTTTTAAATTAAATTTTTAATCATACAAATTTTAACACATTGATAAAAAGTAAACAAAAATCTCAATAAATATTCAAAATGCCCACTTCCTGCCTGTGTGCACCTCTCCAATCGTCGTCTTATAAACTCGCAGACTGAAAAATATTTTGAACCGCTCTAGAATAGTATTATTCAATTTCTTAGCTTTTGTTGGATTTGAAAATAAGCAAATCTTCAATAAAATCACGATATATCACACGTTAACAGAGAAATATGATTCCTGTATCGCATGTAGGTTCCCCTCTGACCACAAATGATTGTTGTGAAATTTGCGTATCGCGTTGCTTGAAAAACTTGCTTATTCGGTAAACAGAAATTGATTTTGAAATAAAGAGTTTTAACTAAGGCATTGGAGAAGCGAACGACAAAAGTTTAAAGTAATTTTTTTAAAGTGCCTGTTTTCCCGAACCGAATGCTTCCTAAATAAAATTACCTTTCAAAAACACACTCGTCGATTACTTTAAATTAATATATTTTGCAAACCACTGTTCGTGGCCACCTTTGATCAGAATGTTTTTGTACTTAAAAATTATTTTTTATAAGATAGGAAAGGAATTGACTGTTGCTAAAAAATGAAATACAAGCATGCACCAAAAAGTTATGACAAAGAAAGAGCGAAAATAATTTTGGTAGTCACCTTTACATGTAAGAAGAAAACGAAGATAAAGCTAACTTTAGCATGTTACAGACCTTCAAATACCAAGTTTCATCCAAATAACGATAGTATTTAAAAATTAGTTAAAAATTAATTATTTTTTTAACACTATAGTTCCATAAGTACTTGAAGCCTTGCAGACCCTTGCCTATACAGAGTTTTTATCTTAATATAGCTGAGAAATTGCCCTATGAAATATCGGGCAATTAATAAAAAACACTCTCAGATAAAGGTAGTTTTGGGCCCTATTGAGTAACTATTCCGTTAAAAGTTAACGGACGTTATAAAGTTTACGGCCGCTTAATTTTCAATTGGTATTCTGTAACTCGATTGCCCGTTAAACACATAACCTAATTTCATTATAAATATCGGCCAGCCGCTTATTTTTAAGGGTAGCCTGAAAGTAGCCGTTAAGTATAAGCGGACCAGATGCTGACAAATTAATATCACATACCTATATGTGTTTTAAAGAATTTGTTTCAGTACAACAGTTGAATTTGGATTGAATTTGSTGTTTTATGATATTGGTGAAGTTCTGATAGAAGTCATCAAAAATGAAGAAAGGTACTGTTAAATGTTGTTGCTATTGGATTTGCTAAGCATTTTTTCCACAGGAMGCAACTTCGCTTACATTATGGAAACCTTCAATAGAGAAGGCGCCAGTAATCGATTTAATATTCCCGAGAAAAAATTTTAATTCATTTTTCGTTTTAACAAAATTCCACTAGGATTATAATGCATGCCGGATCCTAGAAGAAGTACAACAGTATCAAACGAAACAAAAATATTAGTGTTTTTTTTCGCCCACTGGAAGTTCCCAATTAACTACATCGCAAGGTTGTACAGAAAGAAGTTACAGACCTAATTCTGAATGGGTTTTAGCAAAAGTTCAATGTTTCATTACGTTTTGCCACATGATTCTGCAGTATGGCAAGCTTCAAGAATTATAAGCAATATGAAATATCAGTTTGCAGAGGTAGCAATTCAATTCTTTTGGCCGACTCTGGATACTGTTGAGAAAGTTTAACGGACTCCGCTAAAATATATTTTTTAGCGGAACGTCAAAATTTACGTATGTATACAGAATAGCAATAAGAGCCCTATTCTGTAACTATTCCGTTAAAAACTAAAGTCCTTCAAAAAATACATTTTTAACGGTCCGGTATATCGCAATCGACTGATTGCTATTCTGTATACATAAATTTTGACGTTCCGCTAAAAAATGTATTTTGGTGGAGTCCCTTAAAGTTTTTCAACAGTAGTAGATGGCAACATCGAAATTTACCCTAAATTTATAATCTTAATAACCTAAAATTGCCTAAAATAAAACCTCGTCCTGAAGCAAGACTTGTATCTGTTTCAAGTATTTGTCTGTTTAGATTGATTTTTAATTGAAAAAGTAAAATAATTATTGTCAAAATGCTTAATATTCTGTAGAAAGCTCAACCATATTTATGGAATTTTTCCTGCTTTTATTGGATTATAATTTAAAACAGGATGTTTAAGGAAATATTTAAATCGTAACCTTAGAACAGCTTTTATCTTTTCTGGAAAATTTCTAAGTCTTATATGTTCATTAAAGTTTCTGTGGTATTTTCCACATAATTTTGTCACATAAGGGTGTTCAGTCGTCCAAAAAAAATTGAAACTGAATTGAAATTGAATAATTCTTGAAGCTTGCCATACTGCAGAATGCAGAATCAGGTGGACAAACGAAATTAAACTTTGGACTTTAGCAAAAATCTATTCTGAATTACGTCCGTAACTTCTTAATGTACAACCTTGCGATGGAGTTACGTTGGTAACTTCCAGTGGCATAAAAATGTAATGTAATGTAACTAATATTTTTTTTGGTTTGATGTTGTACTTCGTCTAGGATCCGTTATGCATTATAATTCTAGTGGCATTTTGTTAAATCCAAAAATGAATTAAATTTCTTTCTCGGGAATATTAAATCGATTACTGGTGTTTGAAGCTTTCCATAATGTAAGAGAAGTTGTGTCCAGTACAATACATTTCTTCATATTCGATGATTTCATCCCTAAGAACTTCTACACCAATATCATAAAACACCAAATTTAATACAAATTCAACTGTTGTACTGAAACAACTTCTTTAAAACACTTATATTTGATATTAATTTGTCAAAAACTTGTTCGCTTGTATTTAACGGCTACTTTCAGGCTACCCTTTAAAACACGCGGCTGACCGATATTCATAACGGTATTAGGTTATGTGTTTAACGGACAATCGAGTTACAATAAACTTTATAATGTCCGTTAACTTTTAACGGAACTGTAACAGAATAGGACCCTTTTTGAAAAAATATGCCCGTTAAGTTTCTAACCGATGCATTAACAATTTAACATCATCTAGTTAGATAGTAGTATCGAAATAAAAATTACTGGGGTTGTATCCATCGTCATGGTATTGGGTTCATCATGCAGGTTACACAACAGCTGAAAGTACTCGCGGAACTACTTCAGGTTCAAGCAAACGGTCCCGGTCACAAACAGCATCCAAGTCCAATTTGCATCAATTAGCATCACAGACATTGGTTAAGCGGTCGAGGAGATCCAGATCGGTTGACAAAATCAACTCAACTGAATTTTCTTCTGGTTCCACCAGACAGTCGCGGAGCAGAACGAAAGAACACGCAGGAGTGTCCCGCTCTCACTCCAGGACGACTTCGAAAATTAGTCTGACGACTCCGTTGAATAGAAAACCAACAGGTGGTACCGGAACCATAACACCAAAGGTAACAATTTAGATTTTAGAATTAGATTCTTCCAATCCTCTTCCTTCCGTATCACTCTTCAAATCTGCCCTGCCGGAAGAACAAACTGAACCCTCTTAAGCTGCGGTTTCAGTTGGGCGATCGGTGACTGCGACTCGGAGCTGTGTTTGGCTCAGTCGGCACATTTGGGCAAAAACTGAAAAGATGGACGATGTCGAACTGTTAACCCTTATTTCGTTAGAATGGGAGGAAAATAAAAGTTTCTTTTAAAAAATCCTACTACAAATTACCATCCATTTTCTTTTACTGTGCAAATTTTATCATTTTTGTGTTCATAATCATAAATCGATGGGTCTTTTCGGACTTCCTTAATTAAATTGTCATCTTCACTCGCTAAAAAACGAGCCATTTTCCCAAAATCGCAATTGCAACTGCGATCGTCGCAGTCGCACCACAGAAACCGTACCTTTAGAAAGGTTTTGAAAACGACCACTTGATAATTGTTTAGTATTTTTGTAGATTGGACGTTGGTCAAGTGTGAACGACTTTAGGTGCATTATTATCCAAGTTTATTGCTTTCGCTCGTATAAAATTTATAGAGAAAGTTACGGAAAAGTATCAAAGTATTAAACTTGCATTGCGCCACTTGGCCAGATTGAGCACGTTTCGTCTAGTTTTCTTAGTTTGCTTGCTCCATCGCTATGGTCAATAATTTACCTTTAAATGGCAAGGCAAAAGTTCTTCTAAATTCGACAATGATTGATAATTGTCGGGAATATTTGAAATAAAGTGAAGACAGTTCTTGACACAATTTAGGCGGAAGACATCAGTGTTTGTCGCAATCAACACTTGAATCTGAGATCTAACCAAACTTTGAATCGATATTTTGACGGGCTGCGAAAGTCTTCACAGTCTGAGAATGATTTGCGATAAGTGCGAAAATGGCTCAGACATGCTAAGCGCAAATCAATACCTGACTGACTACTAGAAAGCCCATTTGTAAAAGTTTATCACACTTATCACTATTGGCGGCGTTCCACAAATAATCTCTAAAAGACTCTGCAAACTTGGTTATAAGGCTATGTATTTTAATATTATATATTATAGGCTTTTGGCCAGATTCCATAGCAGTGGTTCCCGGACCCCTTTTCATAGTCAAAACTTTCCCACGAACCCTGGGTGAAAACTCTTATGTGTTTTATCGCGAGGTTTATCTGGCATTTTTGTTGGCGTCTTCATAAAATCGTTTTAAATACTCAAGAATTTGGGAATTTTTGTCTTGAGTTTTCATTCTTTTTTTTGTCATTTCAGTTTCCATTTTCGTCTGTTAATGATGTTATTTCGAATTTCCCTGGCGATATTCATTTTCTAAATACTGCTGGCTCGTTGTTGTTTTCGATACCTTCTTTTGGTACTGGACTTGGAGACATCAGCTCTTACTGTGGAAAGAAACAAACTTATCAAGTTTGTGTCTTTCCCTTAGTTCATCGTGTGTCATGAATATTTTATGTTTGTTTCTATCTGTAATAAGTTTTTAGTGTCTTTTGTGATTTTATCATTCGTTGTAGTTTTCCTATTAACTGGAAGAGTTTTTCGACAGCCTTCTTAATGCGCGGATACGTAGTTACTAAACTGGCTTACTTCAGAATAGTTTTCCATATATTCTGTGAGAATATTTTCAGGATTCCTTCTGTGCTCGTCTTCATTTTGTTGTTTGTATTCTGTCTTTCATTCTTTTTTCGGGGACACTAATGTTTTTGCCTTCCATCTTAATTTTTGCTCTCACAAATCTGTGATCGCTGACGTGTATATTATTTACAACTGTAACAGCTTGAATTATATATGTTCTCTTTCTACCAAAATATCTCTTTTGTGCCAAAAAAGATATGCGAAAAATGAAATTTGGATTTCAGGTAAAGTGCTAAAGTAGAGAAACATTATTTTTATCAGTGAGTTAAATATTACTTAAGATAAAACATTGTACTATTTTCAATTTGATCCGCGAAGAAATATTCAGAATGGGTCAAAAAAAGAACTCGAAAATATTCAGATTTCAAATTTTTGTTACATGAGCTCCTACCTTCATTTTAGCATATAGAATTACGCTTTAAAATGTCCTAACGCATTTTCCGAACACCCTGTATATAACACTATATTGTCTGCAATATTTCTCGGCCTGCTCATACTATTATCTTATTATCTAAAAAGGGGACAAAAAGAAGTAGGAAAATATAGATATCAATAATAATAAATAATTCAAAATTAATTAGCAACAGTCACGAAAGTAAACAAAATGAAAAAAATAGTAAGCTATAACTTTTAGGGTGCATCATATTAAATTATTGTACCAAATATGCGTAACTTTTACAGAATCATTAATTATACATATATTCTTCAGAAACACGTCTATGTCTATTTACCATCCCTTCTTAAGTTATAATTAAAAATAAATCCTTAGTAAATGTAACTGAGATATACAGGGTGATTAAAAAAAAAATCTCTTAAAATTGGCGTCATTCGTTTTAAGGGGTGACAGAGGCTCCCTTGGGGAGTACGAGAAAAATATTGAAATTTTTTTTTCGAAAATTTCTAGAAGATATTAACAGTTGAAGATCGAATTTCAACTTTGTTATTAAGCATTATTTTGAAATGGTTCCATGTTTAATTGGTAGCATGTTGGAATACTTAAGCATTTAAAAAGAAAAAATACGATCTTTGCTTCAAATTACGAAAATTTTTGATTTCAAAAAAGTTCTCTTCTATAATTTTTTGATGAAAAAGCACAGCGGCAATGATGTGTTTTGTTATTAACCGATAGTTACAGGTAGATCTTGTCAATCTTAACAATAATTTCTCAAACTGTGACTTACTTTGAATTTGCGGATATGCGATTAGTTCAAGGGAATTTTAATTTTAATTATTTTTTTAATCAACTTAAACAAGAGTATAACTTGGCTCAAACAATTATACTTCTTTGTGTCCAAGACTAGGAAAATTTGTTGTATGCACTTCACATCACGCATAAGACAGAACCAAATTGTTGATTAGTACTGCACCACTCTTTTATAGTTCATATGATGATTAGTTCTGTATTTATATTTTACTTGGGACGTCGAAATCGCTTATAATATATTCATTGTTTTATTTTGGTGAATCTGGATAGCTAACACTTTTTGCTTTGTATAATAAAATAATAGTCACATTGCAGATTATCCCTTTCCTGGTACTTTTTATTAGGAAAATTTCTTAAATAAATGCCGCTTGCTTGCATGAAAATGTGTAACATTTTTTAATCTTTGTATTAAATAGTAAGGACAAATTTTCTAACTTCAAAAAGTATAGGTCCGTTTAAGCCACGAAAAATTATGCCTTTATGTAAATATTTTCGGTCGCTAAACATCTTCATTTGTATCTTTATATTAAAGTTGCACGGACCCCCTGACGCTGTTCAGGGATCGCAAAATCGATTTTAATTTTCCATTGGTCCCCTGAATAATAACTATCGTCTATGCTTCCGCCGAATTGGCCAGATTTGAATACGAGTTAAGTTAAGCTCTCAGCGCAGCGAAGAAAAAAACGTTAATTACCAGAAAAGTTTTGCCTCCTTCGAGATACATTTGCTAAGCTTTTAGTGAATAGCATTGACCTTTACAGCGATTAAAAATCCGTAGTTTTGTTTTCGCATTTAATAAAACACCCGATGTTCAAAGGAATATGTTTTTTTTTTTCAGTGTAACAAAAACACTCCATTGCTTTTCATGCGACGCCCGAAAGTTGGTGAAATGGCATGGTCAAATCAAGGTACTGACTATATTTGTTTCCCTAAGATTCTCCTTGTAACTTATAATTGTGTCTTTTAGGATCTCCCTTGTTGGTCTATGGGGCGACTGCCCAAGATCGCATTGCCAATATTAACATTCCAATTGGTGACGACGTATTATCTCTAATGCCAACGCGGGGTGCCATGCGTCCATCAGAAATACCCCAAATCGAGGGAGATACCAAAAAACAATTGGAAACGTTACGAGACAACCTGATTAAAGTGTGCGATTCTATTAGAAAGTGAACACATGGTTGGACCTTTTGGGTGTTTGAATTAATTATAATCGATATATTCTAGTTCGATATTTCTGTTATAACCTGGGAATTGCATATTAAAATAAGGCTATGTTTAAGGTGTCGACAGTATGCCTAGTAGCCTCAAATTTTCATTTGATTTCTTCCAAAACAAAATTGATAACAAATTTGTAGATTATATTTTAATGCATTAAGAATTATAATTTTTCGGATTGTTTCCCGTATAATTTTTGTGTTTGAATGCCCCTCATGATCCAAACTTCCCAAAGCAAGAAGGCGAAATGTGCACAATTGGGGGGTGAAAAGCGCAAGCGTATCCACGATTCCATTCTGCAGGTCCGAAAGGAGTTTTAGTCGCGCTAGTTTTACGCGCTCGACAGCGAATCGGTCGCCAACTTGAACTCCAATTCGACGAATTAATCTCAAAGTTTTTTGAAGTTCGGCATAGAAGAAACGCGCCGCAAAATGGGCAAGAAGAACTCCAAGTTGAAGCAGGACACCATCGATAGACTAACGACTGCTACTTATTGTAAGTCGAAAATTTTCATTCTTGTATGGCTAGAGTTTGTGGTTTCATTTTTTGAAGGCAACTTTATGTGTATGGTTGTGATTTGTGGCAGCGCGTTATGTAACGGAGCGCTGCATAGTTGCTAATACGAATGCCTCTCATTAGGGCGACGTGTAGGGTATTTGAGTGATTTTATCGCTGATTACCCGACACATACACTACACATTATATTAGTTACAAAAACGTTTTGCGTAAATCTGCCTCAGAGCTAATTCTCGGCCGATTTTAGTGAGCCAAGATTTACATAAATGGAGCGGAGCGCAGCTGATTTATAAGTTGTCTAACCAGTGAGTAATTACTCATTAATTCAATACAAGGAAGTTTATCACAGCGTTCACCTCAACTGAACGATCTATCATTATCTCCTACCCGTGCAATTAGCTTTATTCCAGTATATTGTGACCTGAAGAGGTAAATGTTGGGCGCAATGATCGCATTCTTTGCAGGTTTGCTTTGGAGCTCGACAGAAGGGGAGCGCGTATTTATGGCGTTAATATAATACCCGGAGGCTCAACGCAAATTGCGAGGTAGTTTCGACAAATTTAGTCACGCTAGATTAACCAGAGCGGATTTGAATGGGAATTCGGGCGTAATATCGAGAGATTGAGAAGTGTTTTTCCATAAAAGCCCTGGTAGGCACGGAAATTCCGTTGCTTAATTGAGCATCACCTCCTTGCAAGACGGTGCGTGATTTAACATGTAGTTTTTGGTGGAATGATATTGATAATGGTCTATATAGGGTTATTCACGCTATACGGCACGGAAGTTTGCGGCTAAACCGTTTGATGTTTAAAAAGTATTATTTTATGAATTGTCCGACGCATACCGAGCGCACATTTTAAAAATATTTTTGTAATGTACAGGGTGTCCCAAAGGCTCTAAAGGTATCAAAGTTGCGTTTTTTTAAATGGAATGTCCT